GTACGGCCGAACACCACTGTCCCGGGCGGCTGAGAATGGGCGTGAGAGCATAGTGAAGCTACTCCTCGAACGCAAGGAAGTCGATCCCGACTCATCCGATAGTTGCGGCGAAACACCGCTGTTGGGGGCGGCTCGGAGTGGGCACTGGGGCATAGTGAAGCTGCTCCTTGAGCGCACGGAAGTCAGTCCCAACTCATGTGATAGGCACGGAATAACGCCGCTGTCCTGGGCAGCTATGAGTGCTTATGAGGACATGGTAAAGTTGCTCCTTGAGCGCAAGGAAGTCAACCCCAACGGCTCTGACAAGCGGGCCCGAGCACCATTGTGGTGGGCGGTTGAGAACGGGCGCGAGGGTGCAGTGAAGTTGCTCCTTGACCGGAAGGAAGTCAATCCCAACTTATCTGAGGAGCGCGGCCGAACACCATTGTCCCGAGCGGCCGAGAACGGACGCGAGGGTATAGTTAAGCTACTCCTGGGGCGCAAGGAGGTCAATCCCGATCCATCTGATAACGGCGGCCGAACGCCACTATTGGAGGCAGCTTGGAAGGGGCACGAGAGCGTGGTGAAGCTACTCCTCAAATGCAAGGAAGTCAATCCCGCCTCCTCTGCTGACGACGGCCAAACACCGCTCTCGAAGGCCGCCTGGAGTGGGCATAATGGTGTAGTTAAGCGGCTCCTTGAGCGCCAGGAAGTTAATCCTGACTCATCTGATGAGTGCAGCCGAACACCACTGTCGTGGGCGGCTGAGAATGGGCATGAGGGTGTAGTCAAGCTACTCCTCGAACGCAAGGAAGTCAATCCCAACTCGTCTGATGAGTACGGCCGAACACCACTGTCGCGGGCGGCTGTGAATGGGCACGAGGGTGTGGTGGGCCTACTCCAAAACTCCATGGCCCTATGATGTGGGAGCCGCTCCCCAGCTACTAATCTACCGGACAACACTCCCACTTGAGAAATCATCCCCGACCCATCTAATAACGATAACCCGAAGCCGCAATCACATACTCTCCGGGGTGGCTTTGCACGTCCCCTAGACGTATGCCCAAAATACTAAGAGGCCACGACGAATGCTATCGACGTTAACCGCAATTATTATCGACTAGCCAGTATTTCTCTTCTATTATTTCTTTACCTAATCCCCCCATTAAGTTAGTCCTTCAGAGTTGCTCGATCCGTAGCACCTTTCGTATCCTTGTTTGGGTTCCCTTGCCTCATATTAGTTTCCTTTACACGCCCTGTGGTCCCACATCTCTCCGTTTCTTACCTTATGTCTTTTTTTCTTTTTTCTTCTTTCCCCTTCCTTTCTTCTTCCCCATTTTCTCCGCATGTATTCCCTTGTCCAGAAAGTGGCGCTGATAATAGGATAGGATGGACTGGGCTATGATGGGATTTGACGTTGAAAGAAATAGTTATGATACACTAGGCAATAATATCTAATCTTCCGCGACCTGAAAGACTCGGTCACCCTCGCGACACATGGCAGATCCACACCCAGTGCAGCATTCCCCCACCATCATCCCATCCCGTCCCGTTCTCCTTCCCCTTCCATCCCGCGACGCGAGTCCCCCCTCTTCCCCCACCCAAGGCGCAGCAATACCAGTGCCACCGGCGAGCCCTACGAGGAACGCACCCTATAATGAGAACTCGCGAGCGGAAAGAACGTCCGCTTCTTGCGTGGCTGTTCGATGCTATCGAAGTGTCGCTTCAACGTGACGACGGAAGACTGCTCGGCCAGGAGCATCTGAAAACACCAGGAAAATACCGGAATACACAGGCACCTAGTATGGACATCAGGAGACAGCATAAGAAACTAACCCCCTCCACCACCAATCTATACCGCTATATCTATCTCACCGTATCCCCCCCGTCCGTACCCCAAGTCACATCCGATCCCCACTCCGTACGTTGAAACTCTTGCGGGACGGATACTTTCTACGAATTGATATGGCTGCCGTCGAGAAAGAAGCTTGACTTTCTTACAACATGCGCAGCTGTGCGTTTTTATGCTAAACTGAACCACCAAGCGAAGGAAAGAAACATCAGGAACCCGAGGTCGGTAATGTGATAACCTCGGATGAAAGGATTTGACAAGACCTCTGAGATGAGGGAAAACATATGAGAACCTCGGATATTGAGAAGACAGTGATACCGTAGTTGAATATGGCATGGTTGGGCGATTGTGAGACAAACGGAGAAGAAATGAAGAAAAAAAACTCAAACAGTAACTAACGTTGAGGAGTGTGGTGAGGAAAGCACTAGTCTACCGTAGGAGAAACTAGATGAAAGGAAACTAGTCTGTTTGGCGGATAAGCACTAAATACAACACTTTCGGCGAGTGAGAGGTTGTGATTGCTCGAGGTAATGTGAGATATCGTAGGTGCTCCACTGGGTCTTGTGGAGCACGTTATGGTCAAACCGGCTTATCAGTGATTTGTCGTTATCGGACCGTACCCTACCAGTGCCCGCCCCCGTGTGATATGATATGATACACTCTCCAGCTAGAGCGGAATTTCCCGCAGAGCCTCCTTCAGCCTCAGGCGAGATCCCCAGTATGATACTACAGTAGCGGTATCATATCAGTACCTGGTACAGTACCAGCGCGACAACTCATATTGCCCCCCCCTCACTTGGACAAAGGCAAATTTTAGGTTATATAAGAGGTTAATCGGTATTCCAAAGTTTTAGCTTCTTTTTCCTTCTTCTTTTTTCCTTCTTCCTTCCAGCCATTCAATCCAGAAAATGGCGGAACCCCCCCGGGCACTAGCCACCTGCAGTACCGTATCGACGTTAAAGCACTAGTACCCGTTCTTCAGCAAAGCAATCGTATATGACGAAGAAAACACATTTAATCATAAGATTATCAATGTTGTGCTACTACCAGGTGTAACTGTACTATTATGCTTGTGCGCAAAATAGTAAACGATATTGTGCTGGAACTGGAAATGGAAATGGTCAAACCGAGGCCCGAGCACCGCGCGGGGGGATTCCGTCAGTCATTATGGGTGAATTCTTCACGTGTTCTCCCAAGCTCTCTTTAGAGCGGCTCGGTCCCATCGTCGCCGTAGTGATGCAGATTTGGGCAGCCCTGTTTCTAGGAATGGTATAATATGTATACCTTCATCTCCACCCCACTATCCAGGCTCCCAAATGGCTGTTAAGCTTAAACACCGCTTCACCCGGGAACGCGCCACGGTGTGCTTGGCCTGGGTATCTAATGGAGTGCAGTGAATATCCCGTATGAGATGGGACAGAGGGTGTCGGGTTGTGACGGGGGTTGTGTATCACGTTAATGGGGCTTAAGGCTTTTGGAGCTAACGGGCAGGTACCATACTGCACCCGCGCCCTCCGACAATAGCTTGGTTCCTGGCTTGTTTTTTTTCAGCCGATCACTAGTGGCAGCGCTTTCGCTCATCATTCAATCTATAGTATCCCAACTACGGTACAGCATATCATTTGCTCAATTTGAATCAATTGAGGCACAAAATTACTTCACAAAATATCACTCCAAGCGTGGCTTCCACAAACTCTCATTAGCAATGGCTAGAAAAAGACATGATTCATAAACACAGCTGTATCCTATCTCATATTTAATAGAAATGAAACCCCCCTCAGAGTTTTTATTTTCCAACCATGCTCTAGAAAACCAAACCAAAAGAAACAGCGAAAAACATTGGTATCATATTTTTCTTCCTTTGATTTAAATGGCGACCTCCACTCTACCCTCGTTTCCAGGTGACGGCCCCTGGAGGTTAGGAAGGAGGTAGGTGATATCATCCCAAGGATGTCTGTACAGCCCAGTCCTCAGTCTCTTCTGGTCAAGGTAATGGGCGATGAGACCGATAGAGCGCCCGAGCACGAACAATCCGTTAAGGACACCCATCTACAGCAATATTAGCCTATCGAACCACATACTAGACTATCAAAGGTTTACCTTGAGATAGTCCTCTGCCTCCTCAGCGGTGAATGCACCACAGTTTCGGATGAGGTCAACGAAACATACGGCAACACAACCGTCGACGTTGAGAATAAGGTTATCCTTCTTGCTTGTGGTGACGGTCTCGACCGCAAGGGCATAGTCCAAAAGCTTATGGTTGGGGAATCTCTTAAGAACAAATTCCTTGACAAGCTCAACACGGAGATCGGGATTGTTTCTAGACTTGACCTTGTGACCAATACCAGGGACTAACAGGCCGTCAGCATTTTTTTTTTTTCTTCAAGGGCTTAAGGTACTCGAATTACTTACTCAATTTATTCTGCTTCCTCATTGTGTCTACAAAGTCTCTTGGGCTCAATCCCTTGTCGAAAGCGCCAGTAAACTCAGCAGCGGCACCGTCCAAGGCACCACCAAATCTCTCGCCGATGGTCAATAGACCCGAGACAAGGGCAGAGATCAGGTCCTTCCCAGCTCTCGTGGTAATGATGGTGTTCATCGCGCCGGAGACAGCCGGTCCATGGTCAGCAGTCAACATCAAGACCATCTCCAGGAACTTGGAGGCATAGTCAGGCAGGCGACGACGGAACCACAGAAGTGACATAACACCTCCAATACCGATGTCTTCCTTGAAGACATCAGAGATCGGCATACCAGCATACAGAAGCTCCTGTCCACGATCGTCGGAGATGGTAGAGATGAATGCAGCAGGTTTACGGACAAGGCCGAGCTCTTGAGCCCATGAGTAATCAATGGGAATCTTGGGAACAACAGGCTCGGGTTGCGGAAGGATAGTACCAGCCTTGACCAGGCCCTGATAAACAGCAGCCAAGGTCTGGGGGAATTCCTCGAAGGTATCGGGAACGTGAAATCCTGCCTCTTTCATGGCAGCGTTCTTGGATGCTGCCGTCTCAAGCTGTGAGTTGGCAAAAGAGCCGGCATGTCCGAATTGTACTTCGGTCTTGAACATAGAAGCACAAGTTCCGATGGCCCAAGCAACGATAGGCTTGGTAATTGTTCCGTTCTTAACGGCCTCAATCACCCGATACTCCTCTACACCACCAACCTCACCAAGCAGGACAAGGATCTTGCACTCTGGGTCGAGCTCGTATCTATGGTGCCTGGTCAGTTTTCTTGGCTTCCATAATTATTACCCCGGACCTCAAATACCTCAACAAATGATCAATGAAAGTGGTTCCAGGGTATCTATCTCCTCCGATAGCAACACCCTCGTAAACACCATCGGTTACCTCGGCAAGAATATTGTTCAATTCATTACTCATACCACCAGATTTGGAGACGTATCCAACAGATCCCTTGCGGTAAAGCTTTGAAGCTACGATATTATCCATCATTCCTCCGGTATTACCAATCTTGTAGCATCCTGGTTTGATACCACCAACAGTGGCAGGACCAACGATGGTGATATTTTTCTTCTGGGCGATGTGCATGATTTCGCGCGCGCGTCTCTCCGGAACACCTTCGGCAATGATCGCAATAGACCTGATCTGAGGCTTCTCCATAAGTTCCAAGGTGCTAGAATACACCGAGCGGGAACTAGCAAAGTTCACAACCTGAAAGGATCAGCAAAATCTATTAATTTAAGGAGTCTGGTGAATCCTACGGTATCAACTTCGGGGTGCTTCTCACAAGCCTTCTCTACGGACTGGTAGACAGGAAGCAATGTCTCAGAAGTTCCCCAATACCTGGAAAGACTCATATTAGCTACGATTGGAAAATAGACTAGGTCGAGGGTCTTTCACATCTTGGATACAAACTGCCCACCAAAGGGGTAGATAATTGCAGCTACACTAGGAGTTTTGCGCTTGCCTAGAAGTCCTAATCATTAGCCCCGAATCACGCTGAATTGAACCCAGTGGAAAAGGCTCTAGAGCTTAATTTCAAAAGGGGAGGCGGCGCCTATAATTCACTCACAGATAAAGTCAAAATCCAACATGCCCTGGCAAGCTCTTGGTTGCAATCCATAAACAAATGCACGTGTCTTAGGGTGGAAGAGAGTATGCTCCGCTGGTGGGGACCTTGGGCGAGAAGGAGCACTAAAACGACGAATATTGTCGTTGGCCCTCAGGTTTTCAGTCTGGCCTTTAGCCACCGGGGGGGCAAGAGAAGCTTGAGACATCTCGAAAGTTCAATTCTTTTGGCGAGTTAGTAAAAATCGATACGACACTATAGAAAAGGAGAAAGAAAGAGAAATGTTCTCGGTGAAGGCGACAAAATAGTGGGTCGGAGTTCGGGGGACAAAGCGAGAAGTAGTGGGAGAGAAGAAAGGTTCTAAAGGGGTGGAAACTCCAATGCAAGTACCCAGTACAGCAGTGCATTGCATGAGAGTCGGTCTCTCTCCCACCGCAATACCCCTCACTTGCAAAGAACGCCATGCTATGCAAGGACGAGCAGATCACAAATCCCATTGAGGCAGAGAGGGGTGGAAGTGGAAGCTCAACAAACTTTGTAAATCAATGTCGAAACGTTTCCAGACTCACCAATCTATTTTTCAAGTAGAGACGTTGTGTAGAAGCAGAAGGGAGGGGTACTGGAGGTTGCTACGAAGCTTAATAGTCAGTTGGATAGGTAACAACAAGGAGTACCGTAGCATTCGGGTGGAGACGAAAGACAAACCTACGACGAAGAGATTGCTAGGGAACAAGCAACGCAAGGTGGGAAGAGGAGAATGAGGGGAGAAGGACGAAAAAAGAAGAGGGAGAGAGGAGAGAAGTTGAGGAGCGGGACCAAGTCTTGCTGGGCACACAACCGGAGAGAGATAGGTAGGGTCTGGCGAGCGAGCGTTGGGGGGGCGGGGGGGGTATGTAGTTGGGTGAGAAAAAAAAAGGTGTCCAAGCATCGGCGGATTGAAGCCGGCCTTGCACCTTCCTTTGGAAGTGGAGAGTGCTTCCCTGGTAGGGCCTGGGACAGCAATTGAAATTTCCGATTGCTAGCGGTCGTCCTTTTCTGTTGGGACTTCCTACTCCCAGTGAAAATAACTTCTTTGGGTCATAATTGGCGGGGCACAAAGTGTGGCGCTCGTGTGGCTTTAACGCCGATCAGCTCATATCTTACCTGGAGCGGTAAGGCTAGGTACCGCGTCAGAGGAGGCTTACTCGGGTTTGGCGATGGAACCACACCCTGTTTTTACCGTAAGAAGGAATAGACCCAGCTATGATGGAGCCAAAATAGTGGGGCACCCCTGTAATCCGCCATGTAGAAAAAAAAACCCCGTGAGACTTCAGGGAAGGAGGGAGAACCATTGGGGGGAAAAATATACCGGAGCCCAACGCTTCAAACCAATCCTGGGCACCTAGTCTTCTCCCTCGGGGTGTGCTGTCTGGCCCTCCCACCGCAAAGCACCGCTGTACCCGTACTCCCTCCCCTCCCTCTTCCCCCCCCTTTCCCCTCCCGCTTTTGATCTCGAGCTTCCCTAGTCCCTTCCTGCTCGCTCACTCTTCCCCTCTCGCTTCACTCTTCTGCTCCCATACCCTCCCCTCTACCCTTCCTCTTCATCTGTCTCCATCCTGTCCCTCCTCAACATCTCAAACAAACCATCTCTTTTCCGGTTTCAAATCCCCTTGATACCCTTCATCGCACCTCAAGATGTCTGCTAAATCAATTCATGAAGCTGATGGGAAGGCTATCCTCAATTACCATCTCACTCGTTCCGCCGTCATCTCTGAATCTCCATTGCCTCCCCCTCCTCACAACGCACCGCCAAAGCTTGCTTCCATCACCTTTCCCGGAGGCTCATCTCCAGCAGCTATCTTAGATGCTGCTGAGCAGCAATACCCATGGCTGCTCGAGCAAGGTGCCAAGTTTGTCGCAAAGCCCGATCAGCTCATCAAGAGACGTGGAAAGGCCGGATTGCTAGCATTGAACAAGAATTGGGCTGATTCACGTGCTTGGATTCAAGAAAGAGCCGGATCGGAAGTGCAGGTAGAGTCTGTCAAGGGATACCTGAGAACTTTCTTGGTTGAGCCCTTTTGTCCGCACAAGCCTGAGGAGGAATATTATATTAACATTCACTCCGTCAGAGAAGTAAGTCCTCTTTCCATACTCGTGTTCTCTTGCTGTTTCTTCTCCCAATGGGCGGGTTTCTTCGAATCTTCTGCGCTTAGTTGGAGTGGATGGGTTTGTTTGGCCGTTCGCAAAGCTATACTCTTTCGGGCGAGCGGAAACAACCCGCTCTCCCTCCCAGAATAATGCACCATTCCGGCACCGGAAGTTCCCTGTATCATGTACCTGCATTAGAACCTGCGAAAGTCGATTCCATCCTTTCGCTTATCAGGTTTTCCATACCTTAGTACCCTATATCAGGAGGATCTACCCGCAAAATTCTTGCCCCACCAACCCACTTTTTCCTTTCTACCGGTTCCCACCGAGACCTTTGTTGTCTCCGGGGCCTACGGTGTTGCCTGGATATCCGCTAACTTTGATGACCTAAAGGGTGACTGGATTCTCTTCACCCATGAGGGTGGTGTGGATGTTGGCGATGTGGATGCAAAGGCTGAGAAACTTTTGATTCCGGTTGATCTGAAACAGTTAGTCTACCTCTGCTCTGACATGAAAAAAAAACATTTAAAGGTTCTCTTTCTTGAGACGCACAACTAATATTTTACATAATACAGATACCCTTCCAACCAGACTATTGCGTCCACCCTTCTCAAAAAGGTTCCCTCAGGGGTACACAATGTGTTGGTCGACTTCATTACCAGACTATATGCTGTCTATGTCGATTGCCAATTTACGTTCGTTCTCCCTCGAAATTAGAGGGAACTGAGGGCTTTACTTACAAACCTGCGCCTACAGCTACCTTGAGATCAACCCCCTAGTAGTCATTCCCAACGAGGACAAGACCTCGGCCGAGGTCCACTTCTTGGATCTTGCTGCAAAACTCGACCAGACAGCCGAGTTTGAGTGCGGGGCAAAATGGGCGATCGCCAGAAGCCCTGCAGCCCTCGGTCTCAGACCAGTTTCCGGAACCAGCAGCACCGTCTCTATCGATGCCGGCCCACCAATTGAATTCCCGGCTCCTTTTGGACGTGAACTTTCCAAGGAAGAGGCGTATGTCTCCTCGCTTTATGCCCTCACGCTAGTTTAGATTGTGGGGCCGCTTCTAACTCATGTACTCTCCAGATACATTGCCGAACTTGACGCTAAGACTGGTGCTTCCCTTAAGCTGACCGTTCTGAACCCAGTTGGGCGAGTTTGGACTCTTGTTGCTGGTGGTGGTGCCTCAGTAGTCTACGCCGATGCCATCGCTTCATCCGGATTCTCCAGCGAATTGGCCAACTACGGAGAATACTCCGGTGCCCCTACTGAGGGACAAACGTACCTCTATGCCCGCACTGTCTTTGATCTGATGCTGCGAGCTCCTATCCATCCAGATGGCCGTGTCCTCTTCATTGGTGGCGGTATTGCCAACTTTACCGTGTGATCCCCTTGCACTTTTGAACTAGGAAATCCCACTAATCATTTATAGAATGTTGCATCGACCTTCAAGGGTGTAATCCGTGCTCTTCGTGAGTTTGCTCCTGTGTTCATTGAGCACAAGGTTCAGATCTGGGTTCGCCGGGCTGGGCCCAACTACCAAGAAGGCCTGAAAAACATCAAGAATGTTGGGCAGGAGTTGAAGCTTGATATTCACGTCTTTGGGCCTGAATGTATGAAACCCCCTCAACTCTCCTTTGGTCTGAAAGCCCCCTCTAATTGTCTCACAATAGGCCACGTTTCCGGTATTGTTCCAATGGCACTTCTTGGGAAGAACCCCGGGAACATCCAGGAGTACTCGGGGTGAAAAGGTATTTAATATAAGGGGAAGCAAAACATAGAGTAAGCCATTTTTATTGGGGTTTTCAGCATTCAGAATTTTTTTCTTTTCTTCTTGGAGAGAGTTTGGCCATGAAAGGGACATCTAAATGTGACATGATATTTTCAACCCCCAGTAGTGTATGCTCTTTTGGGGCGATCGTAATTATTGGTAATCTTGTGGAATCAAACTTTTGGGTACAACCTCTCGAGCGAATTACCGGCACCGAGATGTAGCCCTGTACGAAATCTACCACGAGGGAGTATTACCCGCTCACACTCGCTGGCTCCACCTCAACAAGTACCACGAGAATGCAATACACGCTCATCCTGAACACAACCGACGCCGGTTGTTCACAGGTTATCACTCACAAAAGCGAGGGAGCGGGCAGCGCAATCTTGAGACAAAACCGCAGGGAACCACCAATCATCCCAAACAAAAAAAAGCCGAAGTGTCCTTCTGACGAAGCACCCAAGAATGCTGTCTCATCATAAACCCGACAATGGCCTCTTCCCGAACAAGTACCGGTTCCCGCACCATCCGACCCAACCCGATCAAAAGAGTTAAACCCGTTTCACACCCAAACATCCGTAGCAGCGGAAGCAGTACGGAACCCCGTCCAAATAATTAACAAAGCTCACTATCCTCAATTAAGACACGTACAAACCCGAAGTCTAACTAAGCCATTCCATCGGACAAGATTACTGCGCTTCCAGTACAGCACTTCACTGCGCTCTCTCGGTAATAACATTAACCCCGGAGCCTTCCAAACACTCCAAGGCTAAAATTCGGTGCAGAGTATCAAAATCAGGAACCCGATCTCTGAAAGCGCCATGTTAGCGAGCTACTACAAGTAACACCGCCTGAGTACTATCCAGATGTAACCCACCCACCGCCTACCGCGCAGGAACAAAGCAATGCAAAACTCACGCCACTCCCAACCTACTGGACACAACTGCAGCCCATCCAGAGAAGCGGGGGTGGCTAACACCACCCACCCCCCACTCATCGCCATTCCACTTCCGCTACGCTCAAACTGCTAAAGTTACTCTGTACCAATATCGCAAAAAGTTCTCGCGTCGTCGGAGATCACTAGTTTACGGTCCCTCGTGGGAGCGGTATCGGAGAGAGAGAGATGGGGGGGGGGGGGGGTGGATAAGTGGGACCAGCCGGAGTAGCGGTTCATGCTGTGCTGTGCCGCGCTGCGCTGCTGGAACAAACTGGTTGGGGTCCAGCGAGTGATCCCCGGTGATGGTAGCGGGGAGTTGTGGTGTGGGAGTAGGAAGGTCGAGGCGGTGGAACCGATTTTTCCCCGGTGGGTTGGAGTCGGAGTTTTTTTTTTTCTTTTATGCATATAGTGCATACAGTACCTGTATTTTCTCGGTGGGTTAGGTTGTTTTAGGGTGGGGTTATTACTTGGTGTACTACACTTTACTTTTTATCATATTATCCCAAGATTTGGTATCATACTATACTCGGGTACACGCACTTGCACTCGTACAGTATCATACTATGCGAGCAATTTCTAGGTAGGCTTACCACGGTAGGGAGGAAGGAAGGAAGGAAGGGAACTTCTAATATCGGTTCGGGAAATATTCAAACACTCGGGAGAGGTGATTGCCCATGATTAATCCCCGAGCTATATTCGAGTAGGATACCGGGAATTATTCATCGTCCGTCCGTGAAAAAAACAGCCTGATAAAGAGAATAGGGAAGAAATCCACACAGTGCCGATACAACATCTCCCTGTATACCCTTCACATCACTCACACTCACCAACTCATCTCCCCAACACCACCCGCTCCCAAACCCAAGCTCAATTCCCAATCACCACTTCCTCCCCAAACCCACCAATATCCCACTCTCCATGTCGTAGAATCCAGTATCACACAAGCACAGCACAGTGCAGTGTCGTGCAGTAAGTACAGTGCAGCACTCGACCAGCGCCACCGGCTCATACCGTCCGCATCCCGGCCAAAAGGGTCGAGACATATTACTCGTACACACCAATATTTCTGCACCACCTCGTGTAAGCCCTACAAGTAAGTAACATACAGTGCAGCGCACTGCATATCGATGAATGGAAGGATAGAAATGGCCATAATCGGAGAGCGCCCCCTCTCGGTCCCATGGAAGGAAAGCGATCATTTTGTACTCGCGAGCGTGGTGCAGCACGATAGGCCTTGTGCTCTGGCACCGCACAACATCACACTGCAGATGGGATGCGTTGTGTGAGGTGGCGGGTAAGGGGGGTGGAAGAAGAAGAGGTCGTGGGAGGGCGCAAGTGCATGCTTTGTCGGAGAATAATGTCTGGAAGTCACGATATCCTGTAAGTACCACGCCACGCCAATACACGATGACTACCGTACGGTACTGTTAAGGTTGGTCGGGCGGAGTGCTATTTTGGGATGTGGGAGTGAGTGAGTCTATTGTAGCTAATGTGGATAGCGGAATTTCCACCCGCATACGGCCAAGACACCAAAGTACGAGTACTCGTACATTGCTACAGCATCACACAGTACAGTTCAGAGCAGATCGGGGCATGGCACTCGTACTGGGCTTACGCGGAGCATCACAAATCCCACCCGTGAGAATCACCCATCCATCCATCAGTTCACAAGACGGCCGAGAGTTATGAACGCGGGAGAGTCCGAGCTCTTCACCTCATACCCGACCAGATAGATGCACTCTGCAAGCAGGCACAGCAAACAGTACAGTACTCATACACTCTCATCCATAAAGTATGATACCCCATAGATTCCCAAGCTTTGGAAGCCTTCCTCCGGAAGACCGGAGAGGCTAAGTTACTCACTAACTCAGGGGAATATTAGACTATATAAATTACACTTTACAGAAATCTCCCATCTCCAGATCAAAAAAAAAAAAAAAATCCCAAAAGAGTCACCACGTCTTGCTATTTACGGTATCGTAGGGCCAGAATCGGTGGGTATGATAGATACCATACGGTATGTACTATACGAGAGAAACCTTCTCGTAATTAGTCCACCTAACGTTTTTTTTTACCACACATCAAGAAACACACCGTGACACCCAACCAACCCAGCAGTCATTCCTTCCTTCCTTCGCCCACGGTACGTTACTGTATCGTAGGCAAAAACTCCATCCAATCCAACCTTGAAAAAAATCCACACAACACATACAAAACACGCAGAAGCCCCTCCTCCTCCTCCCATCCTCCCACCCCACACACATAAAAAATAAAAATAAAATCGCAAGCAAAACGATTACAGGTATTAGCGACCCTACCACGATCCGAACGGAAAACCAAGCGGCTGAAGTGAGACCCGACATCTCACCAATCCAGATCTCGTCGGGGTAATACCTATAATACGATGATAATCGCAAAGCCTCAAGATATGATAGCGATAAGATCAGATATCGTAGTCTAACTTACGGTATGATACGGCACTCGACGGGCGGTCTATGGACCCTTTCAGATAAAGTTTATCTTATCTAATTATCCATGGCACCGTATGGGGTGATTATCGTAACGGACAAGAACAGAACAGAGCAGAAACCGGTCCGCTCTTCCAGAATACTGGTACAGTTGCCGTATGTCTATGAATGATAACAGTACAGTAGTCTATATGAAGTACCGGTACTTTCGGCATTGTGAGTGATGTTATGTGACGTGACGTGACGTGACGTGAGCTAGCAGTCGTGAATTGGATTTCCATAATGCGATGTTGATACCGCGCTGTATGGTACTGTAGTCTAACTTAACTAAATACACGTTGGGTTCGCGGTAAGTACCATACTAGTCTTGGTACGGTACAGTACAGCTCAGATTCACACTGTATCATACAGTACTCGTACTCGTACCATAGTGCGAGTACTACCGGCATACCGTCGGGTACATGGTACAAGCACAAGTTCCGAACTTCAGCCGCAGCTAGCGCCAAAGCGGTAACCGGTACAATACTGCACCGTATGCAGCAAAGCACGCAACAATTCCTAACCATCCATCGCGTGGGCTCTTGGGATTTACGAGTAATATGATACCGGCAGTCTACGGATAGCGCGGTGCCTACCGATGCAAGTACAGGTACAAGTACAAGTACAGCGATTGGTCGGGTAGTGGGGGAAGAAAAGAAAAAAAAGTCGATTGTATCGCGATAAGTTAGTCCAGTTCTGGTCTAGTCGAGTCCATCAGAGTCCCGTTCCGTTCGTCCGTTCGTCAGTGATTACGAGTATGATACAGTGCTGTATCATGTATATATATATACCTTATGGTATAAGTACCGGTACAAGTACAAGTACATCTATCAATCCGATTCGCATCGCGCCGGTGGTGGGTGGGTGGATGAACCTAACTTACCGGTTAACTCATCGTACTCGAACCTGATTTATGATAAAATCCCCATCTCACACGAGAAAGGGAAAAAACAAAGCATAAAACCCACCGATGCAGCGTAGAGCACTTTGGTTCATGACCCCGCATGTAGAGTTCTGTACCTCTACTTTTACATACATACATGCATACATACATACAAACAAGCAAGCAGGGAAGCAAGCAAGAAATTCCCCCCTCCCACGCTATTCCGTGCGTACGGTGCCCCCCCCTTCCCCTCCCCTCCAACATCCCGCACCTCGCTAACCAACCAACCCCACTCTCCAGCCCTCGATTGGCCACGCAAACGAATGCAACATGACACAAGACCCCCCCCATCCAACGAGTGATCAATCATGTATGCTTCCGTGCCGTACTATACAGTGCGCATTTCACACCCTCTCACTCGTCCGTATAGTGGGGGTAGGTGAAGAGCATTATGAATGGAGAAAAAGAAAGAAGAAAAAAGCAAATATGAAATTCCGAAAAACCGTTTTACTCCCCAGCCGTGCGCAAGTGCGCAGACCGCTTGCTTTTTCTCCCTCTTTATTGGTAGATAAGAGGGGTTTCATGCAATCACATGTTGCAGTGTGTAGATGGAATAGATGAAGTAATACCGTAATATTATCATAGGTTGAGTTGCATTAGGTTGGGAGGAGGGGCTGTTTACTTTATACGTTATAATATATTAATATTAATATATGACGAGGCGAGTGCGAGGACGCAGCGTGATCGGTAAAGGTACGAACGGTACGCACGTTTCCACCAGTGCGATTCTTTCTCTTCCCCTCTTCCCCTGCTCCACCCCAGCACGGGTGGGGATAGCCGGTGGTGGGTACGATAGGTTGATAAATAGACAGATTAGGTGCAAGTGAGTTAGTAAGTAGGTACTAATACATGCGTCGGGAGGTGGAAAAAAAAGAGAGAAAAGGAATGCCCAGACTATGAATCTGGCGTGGCGCAGTATGGTGCGTACGGCCGGCATAGAAGGGGGGTGTGGATGGGGGAATTTCTCTTCGCTCTGGGGGGAAAAAAAATCAAGAATAGACATGAAGATAAGATGGGGGTGAACAATGTGGATGGTATGGCTAAAAAAAGGCAACACCCCGAACTGGAGAGGAAAAAGTGAAAAGAAAAATCTCAAACTCCACAAGAGATATGTTTGCAAAAAAATTTACAGAGGTAGAAGAGAAAAAGAGGTATCCAGGTGCAAAGATGGGGGGATAAGAATGAAACGCCAGAAAACAGTGAAAAAAGAAAGAAGGCATTAAAAGTTGCGTTTGATACTAATAGTTATAGTAGCAAGCATAAAAGTAGAAGATGTCACGAGAAAGAGAAAAGAACATATTAAGCCAACCCTTGCAATCACCAAAAGTAAAAAAAGACACATCTCAATGCAAAACTAGTTTCCCAACTCCCAATTCCTCACCTTAAAAATGAAAAAATGAAAAGAAAAAAAAAAGACGCCATCACACAATGTCCTCGGTAAACCGTGAAGTCCGAGAGCCATCGTGTGACGGTAACGATCTGCCCACTCCATCCTTTCCCGCACTTCCTACCCGTTCAGCACTCCTTTGCCTTGCAGAGGCCGGGGGGACAGACGGCCCAGCAGATACGGGTACATCTCCTGCAGCGCGTCCCTCTCTCCCACTCCCTGCACTTCCCACACTCACAGAACTCATCCCTCCAGGAAACGGAGGTCGTGTGAGAGATGTCAGACTAAGATCAGTCTGACTGCTCGGGGGGCTCGGTGTTTTGGCAATTGGCAGCGGACGTGGCGGTGGCATCGACTCACTAGGAGAAGCAAGCTCAGGATCGCTCTCACGCTCCTCCGGAATCCTTGAAGGGCCTGCTGATACAGCCGCGCCAATGGCCGGTAGGATGGGCGCAGGTCCAACAGGAGTAGTGGCGCTTCCAGGAGCGCTAGAAGCCGTAGGTGATGCGGCGCCCCCAGAAACTCCGGAATACCTTGAGGGCCCCGCGCCTGTAGAAGAAACTGGGGTCCCCGGTCCAATCCAGCTGATTTCGTCATCGTGATAGTACGAAGACCCTGCTGCAGACCTTGTGGAAGAAAATTCCGCTGGTCTTGGACCCCCAATCACAGGATCTAACTTGCGTCCTGAGACCTTGTAGAAACCTCTCTCCGGCACCGCAGCCATAGGCTGGTCCCCAGACTGTTCGACCGGACCACCATACCCAGCATCATCTCTCTTCTGAATCGCGCGCTCGCGTTTATAACGTTTCATGAAATAGAGAACAGCCACCAAGATCAATGCGATTCCGGCTACTCCCCCAAGCACACCACCAAGGAGCTGACTAACTGGTGGTCCTCCTCCTCCTCCTTCAGCACCCTCGGTCGGGACCGGCGATACAGATGTCACTGTCGGGGTCGGCGCGAGACCACCCCCTCCCCCTCCGCCACCTCCGCCTCCAACCTCCGTTGTAGTAGGCCATAGGGACTCTGACGAGAGCGATGAGGTGGTTGTTGATGATGCTGTTGTTGTCGTGCTATTAAGCGACCAACCCGAGGTAGAGGAAAACGAAGTCGATGAAGTGGTAATATTGCGACTCAACGTACTGTTATTAACACCAGTTGGAAATGGATCGGACGTGTACACAATAACACTACCATCAATTGTGGTACTAGAGGCCGGCGGCGTGTCGCCTACGCCAAGTGAGTCAATGGCAGTCATCAGGGATGTAGGTATTGCGGAGAAGGACCGGAGAACTTACTAGTGGTGGTCCCGTTCTTCGTAATGAGGGAAGGCCAGTAGGACGTAACGGTGGTTGATGGAGGAGATACTATGGCAGGCGACGACAGCGAAGCAGAACTTGGCGACGGCGATTCGGCCGTCGATAGAGAGGTAGAAATAATGCCTGAAATTGTAATGGGCGGTATTACCATCCCAGGAGATGTCTCCGCCGGGGACGGAGGGGGAGTAGAACTGAGTACCGTTTGTTGGGTGCTTCCGACCGGTACATTTGGATGGTTGGTTGAATCTGAAGGTGAGGTTGAAGGGACCACAGTCCCAGGTGAGCTGGACGGAATACTGAGGCTCGACAGCTCTGGAATGGAAGAAGGAATGGACGAAGTGAGTGTGGGGAGAATTGTAGTAGTGTCCCCCCCTGTCTCCACAATACTTGGCAAGACACTGCTCACAGCATCCCCAACTGGGTCCGTGATTCCGCTCACAACCCCATTCTGCCGGGCATGTAATTGCTGGTGTCTGCGGTGGGTCATCTTGCGCCTAACCGGCTCAATCCGAATCCTCTCAATTGTCTGCGGGGCGCCCAACCCAAAATTGCCTCCTCCCCGATTCGCTCCACTTCTTTCCAAATCCTCATCATCATCTGTTCCCGTATTCTTGTTAGTTCCCCCGGTGTTTACACCGTCGTGGCTATGAGACTTTCCAGATTTCCCCATATCCAAAGCTACTCAGCACACAAGGAAATAGACAGATAGATAGCCAATCGACAGCAGTAATTTCTTATGGGTTCGTTTTCGAATCGTAATTGAAGCGTCAATAAAACAAAATATAAGAAGAAAAAAAGGGCACTAAAAGCCCCCCCCCTGACCAGAGTCTATCAATGAAAAACTAAAACCTTCAAACCAAGCGAGTCCAGTCGCACGTCCCAAGAAAAGATGGCGTTGAAGGACGTAAAAAATATGGCACCAATCCGAGGGCTCGAGGGATAGTGAAAACAGACAAGAAAAGCCGAAAAGTTCCCCTTTCCCCTGCAATAACGATTGGAGTCGACAATTGAGTGAGATTCTATTTTTAAGTTTTTTTTTTTTTTTCCCGTTAGAATATTTTTGCACGGCCAAGGAGCGGGCACGCAGTCGCTGTGATGATTCGAATGTGAGGGCCGGCACGAGGTCGAACGGTAAATTGGCTATGAAAAGAGTGAGTGAGTGGGATTCTGGTTGGATCCGTTTGGATGCTGGACCTAGCTATTTTGATTGAGTACCGTGTTAGCGGACAGACGGAGGTGAGAGAAAAAAGAGGGTTGCATAATTCCATAATACGCAACGTCCGAAATAGCGGCACCAACCGAATTGAATGTTGACGCATATAATAATGCAGCCAAAGGAGAAGAAGGAAAAAAGAAAGAAAGCGTATGTATCAGGTTGCAGAACTTTAAAGGAGAGACTTGAGAGGCTATCCACAGCTTAGCTAGGAGTCCTTCTCTGGAGTTCTTTTGCTGATGACCCTGTGCACCTTACACCTCGTGCCAGAAAGAAGTTTGACCCAGGTGGACGCAGGAACGAAAAAGGAAGGGGAGGGGAGGAAGGGGGAGAAGAGAGGGAAAGAGAGGGGGTAAGGGGAAGGGGGGGGGGGATGCGGAGGAGATGGCGAAGTGGAAGAAGAGAGGAGGAGAGATGGGATGAAAAAAGACGAAATAGGGAATTGACAGGGGCAAATTGGCCCGACGGGAGGAAGGTTGGGGACGAGATGTTTGTTATTCTCGCGTTCACAACGTCCGGCCCAACAGAGAAGTTGAAACGGGGGAGGTTTGTCTACCAGCGTTAACAGGTTTTTCCTTGATGTCACGCCTACCTAGGACTACCGGGATAGATACTTTGTCACGATCCACTCCGCGAGATAAGTTTGCATGGGGAGAAATAAACATGATGGGAAAAGGGGGACGGTTGAAGAAAAATCACAACAATACGGGTATCAAGTAGTCGGCACCCTGATTGGGAAGCCACGACTCGCCTTGTGCAAACTTCCACCGCTCAATTGCCTCTGATCAACGGCTAGGCACCTTTTCGTCCCCTCCAAATATACTCGAGTACTGGATGTACGAGTACTAGAGTGCACCCGTACCGCGAAAGGAGACATTGCCGGCGCACAGGAAGAGGACAACATCCGGGCACAAAAGCCTACACAGGTCAAGAGCTCGTATGCCGGCACCGGTAGGCTCTCTTTTTACTCCCCACTCCTAACTTTGCCATTGCCAGCTGGCAGACAGTTAGCCCGTAGCACATACATGTACTGGTATTGTACGGTAGGTACGGGTCTTGCACACCGACTGCTAGACGGAGGCATCGTGACTCCCCAGGTGAACAGGATCCTGAAGATGGATTATCATGTGGGTATCACAAGCCCGAAGACACTGGTTAGCTTGCGCACATTTTTTGGGTACTCGAGTAAATGAAAGTGATGAAGCTAGACATGTACGAGCACACTCACACCCGTTACTCTGGAAGGCCAAAATCTAAAAGAACCTGTCCGGTACAACGGGTTATCCGGAACAATGAGTCAAGTTTTGCTACAGAATTATTCTTTTTGAATTCACAGCATCTCATTCAGCACAGCGAGGTATCCGTATTATGGAGATCCGGGACAAAGGGGGTTTGAATGTACAAGTACTCGAGTACGGCCATTTTCTTTTCAAACTCAACCAAGTTCATCATTGTCAACAGGAATCAGAGATCCGGAATCAGCCCGCCAAGCCATCATAGGCTGCCGGTAGAGCATTCTCAACTCCGCCAAAGGACCTTATCGGCCGCCACGAACAGCATCTCCACTCAGGAACCGTCTGGATGGCCCTGTGGCCCAACCGTAATTTCCCTTTGTGTGTCGAGCAGGATGATGGAACAGCCGTGCACGGCTGCGCTATGTGCAAGTGCGCCAACTTGTACTAGTACAAGTACCATGGTGGGTGATTTCAGTGGGAGAAAAAAAAGTACATCCAGCGCAACCTGAACCCTTGCCAAAACGTTACCACCGCTTCCCCCCCCCCGGTTCCTCACTTTCGCTTTCTAGTCTCCGGCTTCCACAGGTGCTGGTGCACCGTACTCGAGTACGTACCGGCACTCAAAGTATGGTACTCATACCGTACTCTACCGGTACCTTCGATTAGGGGGAAGGCTCCACTCAGTGCAACCGGGTTTTATTTACAGTTGCACGTCGCTTCAATGTGCCTCCTTCCAGCGGGGAAATCGCTATCATGCTGCGAATCGGTCGCTCGCGATCCCGAATGCCCCGTCCGGGGCGCTCCACTGATTGCCGGTACTTCCCTTTCCGGAAGGCCGGGTAGGAATGGTTGAGATTCCAATAAAACAAGACGGCGGGCATGGCACAACGGCTTTTGGAAAGACTTCCCTCCCCGCCCCCCAGGGCACAGTGACGAGTTAAATTTATGAGAGCTAGATATTGCGGTACCTGTACCAGAAGAGAGATCTCATAGTTCATCATCGTGATTTCTCCAGATGGCAGCAATTCAATTGCCGTATTCAATCAATCGCCGTCCGGCTTTTCTTTTTCCAGACGAGTGGTTGGCTGAGACGGCTTCTGTCATCTCCAGGCGTCAGCCAACAAAAAAAATTCCTCCTCCACATCAGCCCATACAGCATGTGCAAAGAAGCAAAAAAATGCTGGAGTGGTGGTGTGCGCTGGAAAACAATGTGTGCACCCCATCGCATCCCCCAATCAGGTCCGGCAGGCAGACGATTGGGGATCAACAGTGCAGAAAGTGTATTAGGAAGAAGGAGAGAATTTCATCAGAGCCACCTTCCATCTTTCCCCCTCCGAATTCCCAATCCCCACCCACTTTCCCCCATCGCGGAAGATAGTGGGAGAGATTGAATTCTAAATTTAAGCGCGGGTATGCAAGGGGTTGGGTTCCCTCGAACAACCGAGCGACCGTCCGTGAGATGAACCAAACGAATGGCGGAGACTCTGAGGCCGAAGAAACACCCCCGCCCCCTCCGTTTAAATCCCCAGAGCCTGATGGCGTTCCGTTCATCTCGACCACCGGCCTTCCTTCTACTCGTACAGTATTTTCCCCTACTCGTGTTTTCCCCCAAAATTGGCATATTCGTTTGCACGGTCAATCTCCAAGAATAACCTAACCGATACTGTACTCGAGTACAGTACTCGAGCACTGTGCCGGCCGTCGACCACAAACTCTCCAACCCCGGTTAGCACCAAATTAAACACACCACCGACTCCACCCATCATCCCTTCGCCTCTAGCCCCCAAGCGCTCCGAAAGGGATTTATCCCACGTTGGACTCAATTTCTCTCGAGTAACCCACCGCGAATTGCTTCATCTTCGGTTACTTCCTTCCAGATGACTGTCTGATCTCGTGATACACCCGAGTGATCACGTATGCGTTCGCCATGCGATACCGGTAATCTTCCCTTTTCCTCTCCGCCGCGTGGGTGAACAGAGGTGTGTGGCCCCTGCGGTTCGAGCAACTTGTTCTTTTTAAAAAGCTTCCTAGACAAGAGTTCCCGTACTCGAGTACCGGTACTGGTATTGCCCGAAAGTACGATAGGTGCCTGGATAGGTAATATTGTACCAGTTGTCGGCACCTCCTGCGCAGACCCCTGTTGGCGGTTGGGTGGATAATATTGTCTCACAAAGGAAGGGTCTTGGAGCCACTTCCTTTTGGGCAAATCGCGCGAAAAAATCGTGGTTTAACGGCGGGGCCAAATGGCCTCCAGTGAATGGTCGCGGATCCGTTCGATTCCCACGGAAGGAGAAAAGGGCACTTTTTTTCGCCGGACACTGCCAGCATCCATGTTCGACTTTCCCCCGGATGTGTATGAATGAATGTGCTGGTGCTTGCACGGTACGTGCATGAGGCTGAGGTATCCCGATTAAAACACCCTATTTATTGCACGATCCCGGTACCGGGAAAACCCCCCTACCGTACTGTACTCTAGTACACAACCGCGAGTAACGGTACTTATTGTACTCGTACAAGTACTCTACGGGTAACGGTTTATTGGGTTTATTGATTCTCCCAACCCCGTTTGTTTTTTTTGTTTTTTCTAGAGGAAAAAAGGAAGGGTGACGGGCCAACCAACGCAATTGGTGTTCTCCAAGTAGTGAGTCGGGACAGAGAAAAATTGTTTGCAGGCGAGCAAACTCCCATGATCAATCATAATATTTCCCTCCGTTTACGCATTGCGAATCATCACCGCAACCCCCTCGACCTCAACAAACGAATGAACCAGATCCCAACCTCACCCGCACCGCTCAATTCCAGAGGTGCGACAGGCGAGCGGAGATTACTGTACTGCACGATGGAATTTCGCACAAACCAGGTTTATCAGCATAATCCACTCAGGTAGACGCCATGCTCTGGCCCTGCCCTACTGAACCCTCGCTACAACACCGGCACTATTATCAGAAGTCCCCAAGAGAACCCCCAACACGTGAAGTCCAACATTAGCCAGACAATCTCCGGAGCGGATATCAGCCTAGTCGAAATTGCCGAAAACAGAATGTAGAAACCCGGGATTGATTGGTTGATGCACAACCGGAATTGCAAATACAAGTACACGAGTAATTGCACTCGAGTACGGTAGTGTGCGTGCATACGTAGAGTGCTCGAATATAGAATATAGGGCTCTGCTATCATGCATATTCAGACGGGGCCTAGCGGAGGTGCGGTGCCTAGCTTGGA